CTGTCTAATGTCCACAAAGAGCGCTCTCGAGAGGTGACCCTTATATAAAGGGGCACTAAGGTAGGTAATGGGAAGGTCGCCGCGCGCAAAGCCAGTGATCTCATGAATCCGCTGAGCCCAACTGTCCGCGCTAGAGGAGGAGAGGGTGAAGGTGCTCTTCTGCACACTGATCAGCTGGCCGGTAACCGAGCTATAGTGCTCCAGAAGGTGCATAAGCTCGATCAGCCCATCAACATCCACCCGAGTGAAGATGATGATGTCATCCGCATAAGAAAGATGCGAGATGGGAGCGGATGAAGCCGTCAAGGCAGCGAGAGAGGTAGTCCGCCGCAAGGACAAAAAGGGATGGGGAAAGGGGGTCACCCTGTCTAAGGCCCCTAGAGGAGGGAAAGAAGTCAGTGAGGTTACCATCAACCAGGACCGAGAACGTGCAGTGCTCCACACACGCCTCAACAAAACTGATCCACCGCTCAGGAAATCCCATCCTAGCCAGTGCCTCTCTAAGAAACGGCCACTCCACCCTATCGTACGCCTTAGCCATGTCTAGCTTGAGCGCAAGGTTCGGTGCCGGCTTCCAATCCGCATGAGAGATATCGTGGATCATCTCTTGGGCCAAAAGTATGTTGTCAGTAATGACCCGATCCTTGACGAAACCACTCTGGTTCGGAGAGATGAGGGAGGGGAGAAGAGGGGAAAGACGGCCGTTAAGAATCTTCGAAATGAGATTATTGGTCACGTTACACAGGCTGATGGGCCTGTAGTCAGACCAATAGCTCGGATTGGGTCTTTTGGGAAACAAGACGACAGAGGTAGTAGTGAAGGAATCCGTCATCCGGTGACCAGAGAAGAAATCCAACATAGCCTCCTCAACATCAGGCTTGACTATATCCCAGTAGACCTGATAGAAGAGGGAAGAGAACCCATCGGGGCTTCAATCCCGAAAACAGCATCCCTAACCTCCTCCCTACTCGGGAGCTCACAGAGGCCGACGAGGTCGACCGAAGGAGGAATGGTGGGAAAGAAAGAAGAGATCGGGGCATCGAGAGCCCCTCTGTCGGAGGTAAAAAGGTTCTGGAAGTGGGCAGTAGCCGACTCCCGAATCTGAGACTCTTAAGTCAGGAATGACCCGTCAGCCTCAATACTGTGGATGTGCGACTTAGCACGCTTCTGCCTAACAAAACCCTGGAAGAACTTAGTATTCCGCTCGCCCTCGGCCACCCAGCGAACGACCGCCTTCTGCTTCCAGAAA